AGTTGAAGATCAATCGAAACATGACCGTCGCGCATCAAAGTTTTGTCCTCAATTGTATTAAAGGCAGTATCGGACCCGTAAAGTCGTACAAGCTGTACAAGGAGATGGTTGGAGGGTATTCGAATATTGGTGCCACCAGCGTGGATTTTAAAAACTACAAGAGGGAACTCCTTGCATACATTGTAGGCGCTGATGCTCAGTTGGTGGTCGATAAGTTTTATAAACGGCAAGAAAACAGCTCAGCCTTCTATTTCCACTATGAATTGGATGGTGATGACTGCTTATAAAGGCTTTTTTGGGCTGATCCGATATCGAGGCGAAACTACAGTTCTTTTGGATATGTCTTATCATTCGATGCAACCTACTGCACCAACAGGTAAAACCAATCTTGCATTGCTATGATATGTGTACAACATAATATCAAACAGAACACTCGTACATTATACAGACAATATGCGTTGTTGCTTATGTGGTTTTATCTTATAGGTATAATTTGGTTTTTTCACCTTTTATTGAGATAGACAACCACGACAAATGTGTAACGGTTGCAGCCGCCTTGATATCAAAAGAAGACGTGGCTTCATACGTGTGGGTGTTCCAGAACTTCAGAAACGCGGTTATTCAAGAGCCCAACTACATAATCACCGACTAAGATCGCTCAATTGGAATTGCTTTCACCAAGGTATTCGCTAGTACCAAACATCGTTTTTGTACGTGGCATATAATGAACAAACATTATGATAAGGTCGGCCACGCTTTGAATAACGATACCAATTTCAAACGGAGAATTAATGAACTTGTCTGGAGTCGACTTATAGAACTTGTTGATTTTGAAACTAAATGGGCTTCAATTATGAAGGATTATTCATTGGGCACCCATAGCTGGTTTAATGATCTATATGCTAAAAAAGAGCATTGGATATCGGCTTACTTTAGGGATGTTGGAATGAGTGGTTTGATGAGAACTACGTCGAGATCGGAAAACTAGAATAATTGGTTTAATAATTTTACGAACAATCATTCTAGTTTGGTTGAATTCTTGTTACAATTCGATAGTGCGATGGACGCACAACAGAACACATCATGCAAAGCGATTGTGAAACCCATCTGGCCGAGCTAAAAACTCCGTTATCAATTGAAAAGTGTGCCTTATCTGTGTACACGACGACGATATTCTATCGTGTGCAAAATGAAATTTGTGATGCGTGTTTCAAATGTCGACTTTTGAAAATTTCTGAAAACGACGGTCACATGGAGTTTACGATCGGTGACATTTGTGGGAAAACGTTTAATGTGCACAATGTGAGCCTGAATACATGTCAATGTTCCTGTAAGCACTTCGAGATGTATGGATGGTTGTGTATGCATGCGTTTGTTGTTCTAAAGAATATGAGCGTAGATGTTATCCCACCCGCACACATCATGTCAAGGTGGACAAAGCTCGCTATTAGCAATCATATGTTCCGTATACTCGACAACATTTCTGAAGAATGCACCCAGACGGACGAAAGGAAGACAATGGTTAATCAGTTGTGGTCCGACATACATATATGCGTGGGTTTGGTCGAGAATCGCATGGACCATCTTGTTGAATTTTCCAAGATAGTTGGGGCACATAAGCGAAAACTTATGGAATATCGGGAGAATGATTCATCTGGCAATGACAGGGGGCATATTTTTGAATCGTTTGTTGGCATGTCCGCACCATCAGAGGTAAGCATCCACCCACCAACACAGTCGGAAAACAAAGGTAGTGGGAGAAGGATGAAAACCAACAAGGAGAAGTCAATTGAGTCGGGCAATAAAAAAAGAAGGCTTTGCAAGACATGCGGCGAGAGGGCGGGACACAATACCCGGACATGCCCTAAAAAGCAGTAAACTGTGACATCAGAGGTGCGTACCGTTCAATTGGATCATTTCAAAATACATTTGTATGTATAGTTATAATTATATTTAAGACCGGAACCAAATTTTGAATTACTGATATATTTTGACTATATTTAAGGAGCAGTATGTGGAAAAGTGGGAAAGTCTGTTGGTGGTACATACATGTTGTTGGTATATACAAGATTTGTATAAACTTACGCGTTACAATATTTTTTTACACATCATTCGCATCGTTGTGCATCAATTGTGAATACTAATTGTTGCATATTTTATTAAGCGCAGGCCCGACATGCTGTGGGTGTAGACGTCCATTCGGAAGCGCAAGGATGTCAGATTGACCTCGTTTATAGCACATGTGATCAAATATATTCCATATCCGTTACAATAACTTAATCTTTTTTTTATCTTTTTTTTTTACATAATGCCATCACATGCTGGTTGTTATTTCGTGTAGGGATATTATTGATATCAGATAGGATATTATTACAGACGTGATCCTTTTTTATCTTGTGGATTTTAAATTCATACGTACTACCAATTGGTGTACACCATATTAATGCATATGTGTGATGCGCACATTATTATATTAGTCAGCACAGTTTGCACAACAACACATGAGACATGCACATTATAATTTGATGATGTCACAACTTATCAAATGAGGATTGAATTTATGATGTACCATCACAGCACACACGCACAAGAAAGAAATCCTTACAATCATTATGACTTCAATAATCCAACCAGACATATGTCACACCCATAAAACATAGAATATAGTAGTCGTAATGCACAATAACATATACACACTGCACGATATTTTGATAAGTGCGGAAAAATATATAAACACAACACACACTGCATCATAACTCTACTTTTTATATTGTTTTCTAAATTTTATATTGTTGGCGATACTAATACTACTATTAGTACTAAAAATAATAATAATAATAATAATAACAACAATAGTATCAATGTAGATACACATATAAAATGACTTTGATATATGGGATACACATGTATTGCACAATAGCAACTACGTGATTGCACAAATATACACGAAAATATGCACATCTATATTCCCACGTAATCGTTATGAAAAATACTTCACTGACAACAAAATACGAACACTGAACATACACACACGGGTGACAATATGCGTTCATCAGTATCAATGGGAACCAATGTACATTTATCGAGGTGGTACCAAAACGAGTGTTATACCAACTGTTTCATCACCTACAAGTTTAAACATTCATAATTCTTCATGGTACCAACACGAGTACTGATCCAGGAGCTTAGATACCGAAAAGTTTCAACAAAACAACTTGTCTACGCGATACCAAAACAAGTACTAATCCACCCAAAGGAATCGCCAGATACACGTTTCAACAAACTAAAAGCTAACGTTATCCACATAATACCAAAACGGTTACTAAACCAACAGTTTGGCCACCCACACAATTCAACCATCAATCATGCCGACTTACGCTTCTTCATCTCCAAATTTAAAGGACGATATTCCATCGCCTCCATGAGATTTAATTCCTTTATCTGGTTGTTCGGTGTGCATGCTATGACACAACTGTATCTCTTCCTCATGAGCTTCAATTGTTCCTTGTCGCCTCCTTAATCAGTGGACTCCAACTTTTAGCAAATCCACCTTTGAAGAATATCTCCATACGACGCATCGTAATCACACCAACATCTGCCTCGTCGACCCCCTCGGTCCAGGGTGTGCGGATGACATTGGGAACAGACAATGTAATTGATTTAGATCTCCTCGCCAGGTTATTCTCAATTAGATACTTTGCAAGCGATTGCTTCTGTGGGGAAAAAAAATGAAAAAAGTGTTTATAACACAATAATCAAACTAATGTAATTACACCAATAGGAGGCATTACCAACAACATGACACAAGACATGAGCACTTTCTTCACAACATCATCTTTACAAGTACCGGCACTATTCAGAATACCGAGTTTTAGAAGTTCCAACGCAATGCACGCAATGCACAATAAGCCCGAGAAAGCCACCGAGTGCACAGGAAACAGAAACTGTAGACATGAATATGAAAAAAAAAAGAAAAAAAAAGAAAAAATCATGAACATCGCAATATATTGTTTGTAAATTAGGTAAAAACTCAAAAAGGGAAACGAAAAAAACACACACACAAAAAAAAAATATATAATGAGTGTTAACAGTTATTCACTTACCATCGATATCTTGTTTAATTTGTAAGTGGACATTCATGCAATTTCCAAATCTAAAGTTTGAGCGAACTTTTTATAAATCAAATCCTTCCTCCGTTTTTCATCGTAAAATAGCTGCAAATGACCATGCCAAAATACAAAACAAACATATCATGTTTACGAATGCAAACATTTAAGATAACATTAGCATAATGAAGAATAATGTACCTCATTACACGGGGACGTAGTTTCATAAAAACATGATGGCGCGGGACTGCTTTTGAGCTTCTCGTTATAGTTCAGAATGCACGACCACGCATCCAACAGTTCTTTTAAAATTGGAATATTTGGAAGCAAACACGAAACAACGTGCTTCTTCACAGAATATTCAGAATATTTGGGATGTTGAAAAAGGATGACGCCCATGATCGCATGTGTAACCATGCATACGTTATAAAAAAAAAACGCATAGGAATTAAGCTTAGACTAATACACGAACATACACACTTATAACATCACCCAAAAATTTAATATCACCATATGTTGTAATGAGGAAAAAAGAAATGAGAAGAAAACAGACAAACATACTCATCATGGACATCCTTCTTCAATGTCCAATTAGCGATAGTTCTCTCGTGTCTGTCGAGTTTCTTAGTCACGTCAATTGTCCTCTCTATATAAAGAGACTTGACTGCACTTGTTGCTATGACACTCCTTTTCGGCCTCGGTGACCTATCTGCATCACCTGCCTCTTCTGAAAAAAAAAAAAATATATTAAAACAAAGCAAAGAATATGTTAATAAATAAATATATACATGTGTGTGTGCATGCATGTGTGTGTGTGTGTGTGACTCAACACAACATCAACATCAACGATTACAATTAGTACATTAATAGTGCCACATATTATATGTTTATACCTGTAGTAACACACTTATCGGGTTCCAGGCCAGAATCTTCAACAATCGCTGTCTTGTCAGTCGTCTTGTCAGACATACCAACGGTGACTTCACATATGAACAAACAAACATATTAAAACAACACAACAATTATATATATAACCAAACACGCGACGAACAATACACCTACATTGATGAAACACTTTACTTCACGTACCTTTTTGCACATCAACTTCTGTTTGCATCCTAGCAGCCGACTGTTTATATCCATAATCACTAAAAAGTCGATATGTGTCGTCGGCAACATCATCGGCATCGTGGATAAGCCCAAGATGGAACTAGGGATATCGCATTGCATTCTCTTGAAGTGATCCCGCCGCTCGACTGCTTTCATAATCTCATCTATCGCAGCTAACATGTCAGAAGCATTCCAGAACGCGTCATCGGCTAGCTGTGATGCAACACCTTTCGCGTAGTCCTTCGATACATCATCTTTTTGTGCACATGTGTCACGAGGCTGCCTTGGACCGGGATGGTTGGGATTAACAGGTGGCACCTCAATATACACACCAAGAAGCTTCTGAGAGGCCTCATGCATTTTCACAAAGTTCACATCTCCTAGAAGAACCTGCGGCGCCTTTTCAACCAACTATAATATTTCAACTCCGGTGGTGGCGAGAAGTCGAGTTTTAGAAGCAAACTCCTGAACGTATGCCTGCATATTAAATCAATTTGTTAATGCGCGTTTCTGTCAATCATGATGCACAAATGTACAACATATAGTGCACGCTATATTTTTGATGTACCTCTGGCAGATTTGGATAATGCACAGTATGTATTTGGGAACATATAACAAATACTAAACGACAAAATATTGATCATGTCAATATGAAAGCAAATTGTCGCATTCTTATAATATACACGATACGTATATTAAAACACCGACTGCATATGTGTGGTTGTGCACATTTAAGCATGTCATAATGCACAAATGTAACTATAATAATGCACATTATATATTTGTGGGTTTGACAAACAATCCTGTAATGCAACAAATATAAATAAAATCGACGATTGTGTATAAAAGAGAAATGCAACCAGGAGACACAGAAAAAAAAGAAAAAAAAAAGGAAAAAAGAAAAATGATCTTTCAAACCGTACATCACGGTCTACCTGTACACAGTGGCCCTCTGTCACACCAGCAACATCACTTGCACCATCGTATTTCGGTCCGACTTTATCCAGCCGGCGACTATCGGCAATCAAACGGAAGTCTACATCCACAAAACCTCTACCAAAAGCTCCCGAAGCAATCTCGCCGCGTTCTACCTGTACACAGTGGCCCTCTGTCACACCAGCAACATCACTTGCACCATCGTATTTCGGTCCGACTTTACCTAGCCGGCGACTATCGGCAATCAAACGGAAGTCTACATCCATAAAACCTCTACCAAAAGCTCCCGAAGCAATCTCGTTGCATTCTCTAGCTTTTAACGTCTCGTTGCTCCATGATCTGAACGTCGAGAATGTTCGTGGGACTGATCGCACGGACAGTACAACCTTCTCTACATAGAACAACTGTCCCACACACAAACAAACATATGGTTATACGATTAGTATGATAACATACAAACATATAAAATGAAGAAATAAATAGAAAGAGAGGTAGGGAAAAAAATAAAAAATAAAAAATGAAACAAAATGAATAAAGGAGAAGCAGTGACTGACCGTCAAGAACAACAAAGGCCCTGCATACTTCTTTTATTTACTGATTGAATCCCACGACCTCTTCGTTTCAACTAAGCATCGAATCATATAAGAGCACCAATTCATCTTGCTAACCACAAACAAATCATCAAGCATGTGTACTAAACGGAAATTCGCCATTCCGTTTAAACAACTCTCAAACAAACAGGACACCATGAGGACAATGAAATGATTCTTGAACCAGTCCCTGCCATCCTCACATTCGTTCAACTTATCCAGCACATTCGACGCCATAATGTTCGACGGTTGTCTAACGTCGAATAGTGCAATCCACTCATCCAACAGGTTAGATGTAACTCTGTTTTGTTTATTCTTAATTTCAACCTCTCCGCGAGGCAACCTAACCACAGCATACAAGTCGTATTCCTTACCGTGTACCTTCTCACCGTCATAAAATTGGAGCTTCCGGTCTAGGTGGTTGAAATTTTCTACTAACCAAAATCCCACCTTTGATGGTGCAGCTGTTATGCTCAGCTCCAACAAGCACCCAAAACCATTTCACGAACTGCGTTCTTCTTGACATCTGAAAGGGTAGATATCGCCTTCACGAATATAGCAGTTGAAGACCTCGTAGCCACGCTTAAGAACACGTCTTCATCATCGCTATCCACAACAATATCAGCTGCCTCACCAACATCGTGTTCGACTACAATATCGGTATCAGCCATTTTATTTACCCTTAACTACAAAATAACAAACAAAGACAATATCATCGGACGCCGACTATGGTGTGTATATNAATAATATCAGCTGCCTCACCAACATCATGTTCGACTACAATATCGGTATCAGCCATTTCACTTTTACCCTTAACTACAAAATAACAAACAAAGGTAATATCATCAAACGCCGACTGTGGTATGTAAATATATATATATATATATATAATTCCAGACAAAGGTAGACACGCACCATTCCGATTTTTTGTGATTTCTGCCAGGCAGCGTCGAGGCACGTCATCAACAAAATCATCACTATCGATTTGGCTTGGTTTGCGTGCACCACATTTAGAACGCTTCGTCTTCATATGGTCACCGATGCGTTCTGGTTCATTAAGAGGTCTCTTTGATCCTGTGTCTGTACAACGCACAAGGGTTCATAACATGCATGTAAAGCACAAAGATCATTAATAAACTAGGCTAACATTAGAATAACAATCTCATGAGTTCGTAGATAATTACCGTCATGTTTGTTATTATGATTCAAGGACGTGTCGCCTTGCTGTAATAAGGGCAGGCTTGTGCTATGTCGAGCACCATATCATTTATTTGCAAGTTCTGACAGAGGAACATCATCAAGGACATCGTCACTAGCAGTTTGGTGCGTTATACGTACACCAACTTTTGAATGCTTCGGAAGGTCACCAACGCATTCCGGTTCGTTAAAAGATCCCTTTGACACTGGGTCTAGTGCAAATGGATTCATAAACACACATATAAAACATAAGGGCGTTAATAAAATAAACTACCTTAGACTATCAATTTCATTCGTTCGTAAATAATTACCGTCTTGTGTGTTAGCATGTTCTGTGGTCTTGTCGCCTTGCTGTACTATGGGCAGGCTCGTGCGATGTCGAGTACCATATCATTTTTTTGCAAGTTCTGCCAGAGGTACATCATCAAGGGCGTCATCACTATCAGACTGACCCGTTATGCGTGCACCAACCTTCGAATGCTTTAAACAGTCACCGACACGTTCTGGTGAATCGAATCGTTTTTTTGCAAGTTCGGCCAGAGGTACATCATAAAGGGCGTCATCACTATCAGGATGGCCCGTTATGCATGCACCAACCTTCGAGTGCTTCAAACAGTCACCGACACGTTCTGGCGAATCGAATGCTTCATTCTATCCAACGTCGGATCTGTACATCACACAAGTGTTCATAACACGTATATAAAACCCAGAGCATTAACAATGTAGACCAACTTTAGAATATGGATATGAGTACTTCATAAATACTTACCTTCTTGTGTGTTATCGTGCTTTGTGGACGTGCCACTTTGATGTACTAAGGACAATCATGTAGTACGACGGGTGACAGACCGTTTTGCTGTGATATCTACCAGGGGTAAATCGATTAAGGTACTAGAACAGAGAAAATAAAAATTGAGTAAATATAGACAGATTTATGACAAAAATGCGGGAAA